TTAAACAACCACTTAAGTTCTCCCATTGATCATGCTCTAATGAGTGAAAAAAAACAATTAAAATAACACGAAAAAATTGAATTTGGTCGACAATATAAGAAACAACTAAAAAAGAAGTTTGTGTACAATAATGTTTTTGGTAAGAATAATTTTGAGGTAATTTATATTAATTAATATGATAAGGTCATTACTTAAGCAATTAAAGGTAAAATGATCACTTGAATAACAATAAAGTGCCAATTAGGACATAGGTATTACATTGTGAGTGGATTTTTTTCAACTGTTTCTAATATGATTGTAAGTCAAAGTAAAAAGAGTTAACTAGCTTAAAAATCAAATTAAACCCAAAAAAAAAAATTGAAAATAATTAATATTGTAGACTATTTTGAGATTCAAACACTAAATAAAAACCACATATTTTGTTAAGTCACTTGGACGCATTAAATGTATAGATTATAAAAAATTAACCCAATATTAAATTTTTTATACATATGGCGTGTACATAATTACGATAAAGTAGATCGGATTTTGCATATATATACATGTTTTCGTGCAAAGTATAGACGAGCTTCTTCTTCGAAAACAAATATTGATAGGTTAATTTTGCGGGTCATTTTGTTCTAACAGATATCAACATCAATGGTTTTCTCACACAAAAAAATATGTCAAATTTTGGTTTCTCCAAAATCTTGTTGATCTGTTTCAAGGTCGAAGTTGATGCATAAGGTCTAAATCTTGTGGGTTTACTGTATGTTGCATAATGTATAACTTCATTGATGCAGACATAAGTTGTTGCCGGTTTATGGGGAAAATTGCACTTGATTGAATTATATATCATTGGGTCTGAACACAACACTTTATCGTCATGCAAAAAAAAAAAATTTAAGCTCGTTAAGTTTAGTCAGCCGATTGTATACAATTTTCCAAAAATAAGCTTGATGTGTGGCAAAAAAAAAGGGTTGATGCGTTTTACTAAAAGATTCTTTTCAACTACTTTTCCCAACCAGCCGCCTCTAGCAATTCCTAAAAAAGATTTTGAGGAGGCAGAACTAGGTCCAAACATGAGATTTTCAAGGATTTCATGGGCAATCTCGATAAGATGACTAAAGCACATCCTTCGGTGGTCGAAAAGGTGCTGGACAGTGAAGATGAGAGCGGTTTGTTTGCTAAAATAGCCGCTAGGAGGAGCAAGAAGTTTGTCGAAATCGTTGACAAGTTTAGGCTATAGATCTTTTATAGCTTAGCGTTTACTTCTGTGCATATGGACGGGTATTGAATTTTGTGAATACTATAGTGTTTCGGATCTCGTATGAACAAGAGAATATTCTGTCATTTATGACATATATGAAAGAATTTTGATTAGAAAAAAAAAAGAAACTACATTTGAATGAATGAAAACATTCTCGAAAATAGATTTCTTTTTTGGCTTCGAATTTCTAAATGTGAAAATGAGATGAAACACTATGTTAGTTTAAGTTGTATCGTATTTGACTGCTATGCATTCTTTGAAGTCACATTATTATATTAGACTAGCACTTGCAATTATTTGTAGAGATTTTTTTTGTGTGCGAAAGAAACTAATGGTTTTTTTGTTTACAACAATATTTAATTTTATTTGTGAGACTTTTCCATATTTAATTCTGAAAAATAATAACGCAAATAATAAGATTCAACGTTGGCAATCAAAAACATTTTTTTTTGAAAAAACTAAAGAGTCAAGTAGTTGATGCATTGACTTTTAGTTGTTTTTTTTTTTATAAACCGTGGGAGTTCCGAACATTTGGTTCATTATATCTTCGATATCCAGAGACAGTCTTTGAAAATTCTGATTTAAAGAATAATTCTTCGTCTTTTGTGTTACCACTAGACCATTTTCTCTTTGTGATTTTTAGGTTTTTAACGGTCAATCATCATATTTTTGTGATATTGTTATTCGTTTTACGTCTACATAAAGCTGAGGTATGGGCCGTTAACAGAAAAATTTGTATTGACAGTAGAGTAAATGAAATCTGCGTCATATAAATACAACTCATGAATTAGAGCATAAGAAGAAAAACAAATCTTTATTATTCCTTTTGTTCATGCCTTTTCGTGCATTCTCCTCATCTCGTTGCCTAAATCACTCTTGTAATCTATATTCTTTTTCGTTTCTAATTTTATTTACTAAAACATCTGCAAAAGTAGCATTATATAAGTTTGAGAAAAATAGTTAAATATCGTTTTATTATATACTTTTGTAAACTTTTTTAATTAAATTGTTAAATACATTTGACTCCTCTCTAATTACTATGGTATGCAATCTCAACTATCTATCTCGTTGGTTTGACCTTTTTGTATTCATTTGGTCTGCTTCATCCAAATCTCAATTAATCAAGTCGTCAATTTTACTTTTAGGGAAAAACTGCAAACTTGTTTTTTAAAAAATGAATTTTTTTTACCAAACCGGATCGGATTCTTAATATCTTTACAGTTTGTAAAAAGACATACTTAAACCAGCTTTTTGGACATGGTTTTTAGATTAATACTCTATGCTCAAATTATATTTAAAACAATTAAATAATTTTTCTCGACGAAATCATTGATTTATTCTGAGATACATTTTGCCGATCTTGTTCATTATAAAACTTTTCTTGGCTGTTTTTTTTTTTAAATATTATCTGGAAAGACAGTTGTCCCAACGAGACAGAATAACTAATTTTTTTTCCAATATCAAA